AAATAAAAAAAGGTTTAATATGTTTCTATGTTTAAATAAAAAAAGGTTTAAAAAAATTGCAAAGAATCTAGCGTTTGTTCTCTGTATCAAAACTTCAATAGAACTTTTTACTAGTTTCAAACCTTCAAAAAATTTTTTTTTTGGAGATGGAAAGAATCCTTTTCATCATTTAAATAGCAAGAATCTAAACAAATAAGAAAGGAAATATATATATAAGAAATATAAAACATTTATGGATAGTGTTAATTTATGCATACATATTTCTTTACGTGTAAAGAAATCTATTTAAAGTTTCAAAAAAAAAAAAAGTTTCATTTAAATATACAAGAAGTCAGTCAGGTCAAATAATCCATAAACAGATTATATTTAACAGCCGAAATGTCAAAATAAGAAAGTCGAGGATAGAAATAAAAATTTCAGATTTGGTGTTTCTATATATTGGATTCTCTGATCATAGATTCATTCCACATAACTTTAATCTGTCTCTTTATATCGACAATTTCGAGTTCTCTGTTACAATGAAATGCATGCTTTTGGTGGTTGTTTCTGACATCTAGAAGGATTTGGTTACTTTGTATAAACTGATTGGAGATTTTGCTTTGTTTTCTACAGAAAATGCATATAATTCACTGTGTGAGGTTATCTGGAAACTCTTCATTTGATAATGTTTATGGTAATGGTGTGAAGCACTTGGAAGAGTTGGTTTCGAGGATAAAAGGGATTAATCCGTGAGTTAACTGTTCGGTTTTCTTTCTCTAACAGTTTTCACAATATTGACTTATCTTTGTGTTTCAGCCCGAATCTACCTTCTGGTTCAGTGGACTTACACACAAGCCAATTTGGCACTCCGTTGGAGAAATCAAGCATGACAAGTGAAGCTTATAAGAATGCTGTACTTCAGGCTAAAGAACACATACTGGCTGGAGATATCTTTCAGATCGTTTTAAGTCAACGGTTTGAGCGCCGCACTTTTGCTCATCCGTTTGAAGTTTATCGAGCTTTGAGGATTGTGAACCCAAGCCCCTCGATGTGTTACTTGCAAGTCAGTAGGATATCTCTTGCTTCATCTCCTAAATTGTTTACTTTATTTTTCCTCTGTTTTGCTGATCTCCATATTCTTTACTTGACCAGGCGAGAGGTTGTATTCTAGTAGCGTCAAGTCCTGAAATTCTCACTCGAGTGAAGAAAGTAAGCATCTCACGTCATCTCTTCTCTCATGAACTTCTTGTAATGTGGTAATACATGAAACAGAGTTTAAGAAAAAAACTTTTTGGCTTTTGTAAAACAGAACAAGATAGTGAACAGACCACTAGCAGGAACTGCAAGACGGGGCAAGAGTTTTGAAGAGGATCAAATGTTAGAGAAGAAACTATTAAAAGATGAAAAGCAATGTGCAGAACACATCATGCTCGTTGACTTGGGTCGCAACGATGTTGGAAAGGTTAGTAGTCTGTTGACTTCATGTCTATTTCTATGTCAATCTCTTTCTCTTACCAAAAACATATCAAATCCAAACGTAATGCCATCACAACCGCCTAATATCTTCATTGGCTCTCTCTCTGGACCTGTGGCTCCTTTTGAAATCAGGTGTTGAAGAACGGCTCAGTGAAGGTGGAAAGGCTCATGAATATAGAGCGTTATTCCCATTTCATGCATATCAGCTCAACGGTAAATACCAAATTTTCTTGGAAACATTACAATCATCAAACTCTTTTCTTATCTCAAAACTACTTCCATATTCTGTTTTGTCTCTCAATGTAAACACAAACGCTCATTCATAAACTTTGAACCACGTAAACAGGTGACTGGAGAGTTACAAGAGAATCTAACTTGTTGGGACACGCTTCGTGCGGCTTTACCAGTTGGAACCGTTAGCGGAGCTCCAAAGGCAAACTAAACTACTAGTTATTACATGAAGACTCTGTTTTATATTATCTTTCAAAGTGACTGATCTTTGAGAGACTCTTTTGTGACAGGTGAAGGCTATGGAGTTAATCGATGAGCTAGAAGTGACAAAAAGAGGACCATACAGTGGTGGATTCGGAAGTGTGTCCTTCACAGGAGACATGGACATAGCTTTGGCACTTAGGACCATTGTGTTCCCAACACAAGCTCGTCACGACACAATGTACTCGTACAAGGACAAAGACACCCCGCGCCGTGAATGGATAGCTTATTTGCAAGCGGGTGCAGGGATTGTAGCAGATAGTGACCCAGAGGACGAGCACCGTGAGTGCCAGAACAAAGCTGCTCGACTGGCTCGTGCCATAGATTTGGCTGAGTCTGCCTTTGTTAATAAAAATGATAAAACTATCTAGGTATGTTATATATATAAAAAAAAAAAAAAATCTAGGTTTCTTGCTTTACAAGTAACATCCCCTGAAATAAATTAATTTGTAAGTCATGAATTACGGGGATATTAACCCGAAATAAATTAAGAAAAATGATTGCTTTTTTTTTTTTTTGTCGACCATGAAGAAAAATGATTGCTAAGCTATTCAAATTTCATATAAAGAAAAATTATTTCGAAAATTAAATTCCATGTTTTTTTGTTTGTGAAAGTGAAAGAGTTAAAAGCTTAAGTTCGGGTGGATTAAAAAACTGAACTGAAGTCGTACTATTTGGATGTATAATTTTATACGTTTATTGTTCTTCTCCCATTTGTTTCTTACTTTCAGTTGGTCTATACGAGTCGTGAGTCTCGTGACCATATATAAATTAACCGTTAATACTATAGATGTTTTCTAGATGAATTAACTATATATGTGTCTCAAAGATCTGAAATCATTTGGTCTATGGATATTTATAAGGGTCTTTTTGGTGAATAACAAAAAAAAAATATTAAAAAGTTAGAAAAAATAGAGTATGTGGCAAATTGTAAGCCATTGAATTTAAAGTTTTTTGTTAGTTTTCAAATTATAATTATTTATTATATTTTTGGCAAATTTTCCCTACTCTCTATGGAAGCCATTATCTTTATGGAAGTCATATTTCTACTCTCTAGCAAATTAACCTATATGATAATAAAATGAAATACGTGGTCGGTAGTTAAGCCATAAGCAAACATTCCAACTATTGAAGCTTTTTAACATGTTCATTAAGCCTGGGCAAAAAATCTGTTAAATCCGATTTGACTCGCTATTCGCTTTGATCCAAACCAAAAAATTCGAATATCTGTCAAATTTCGAAGCCAAGCAAATACTAAATTATGGTATCCGTAAAAAACAAAACAAATAACAAATAGTGACTTAAAAAATACTAGTATTCGATCCGATCCGT